GTGCACATGTGAAAGAAAAAATCCTGTAGGCACTGTAAAAGGGGAGAATCAACAGCTTTTACTCTAGCTGTGAGCCTAGGACTACTGCACTGTCAAGGTTGGAAATGAGCCTTAAAATCAGGTCACTTATCTGGCCCTTGAGATAGGTACACTGTATTGAGGAGGATAAACCTGAATATATAATTTCTCCCCCAATTTATTTATTTAGCAAAGAAACACATGTGGCATCTTCACTTGTCAGCAAGCCTTGCCTACTCTGCTTTAAGATCTATCAATAATAGATCTTAATACTATCTATCAATAATAGGATCACTTCTCCACTGATACTGCCTTTCTCATAGCCACTGGTAATATTTGCCTGAACTGTGGCAGTCTCCTTGCTCCCATCCTTGTCCTCCTGCCATTTATTTTCTTCACAGATGCAAGGGTAAGTTTTTTAACAAAGTAAACTGTATTGTGACATTATGATGTTCAAGACTCTGCAGTGGATTTCCGTGTCTCAGAATAAAATCCAAAGTTCTAGCCATAGCCTCCAAGGTCGTTACCTACCATTATCCCCAGAGCTTCCGCTGCTCCAGACACATTAGCATTCTTGTTCTTGTCTCAGGGGTTTTGCATATGCTCTTCCATATGGAACAGATTCAACAGCATATGGAACAAATTCATTTATTTCATAAATGTTTGTTGAGTACCAACAATGTTACAGGTTGTTGGGATACATCAGTAAACAAGGTAGACAGAGAACCTTGCCATTGCTATGCTTACATTCCTAGCATATCTGCATCTCTCACCCCCTCTGCTCAAACATCACATATTAGAGAGGCCTTTAACCATTTGCTCTCAAACAGTGATCCCTCCCCCAACCCCCTTATCACATATTCCTTTATGCCGGTTTATTTTACTTAATAATTCCTATCACCATCTGACACATGATATAATTCATTCCTCTCCCCTCCCCGTCCCTCCCCTCTCCTCTCTTCTCTCATCTCTTCTTTTCTTTTCTCCCTCCAGGAGAATGCAAGCTCCATAGCAGGGATTTCCCTTGTTTTAGTGTCTGCTGTACTTCCAGAACTGCACCTAGCACATAAAGGTGCAATCACATATTTACAGAATGAATTAATGCATGTGCAGGGTGAGCACTTTTAATTTGGAAACTCTTGTCTCCAATTATGGGAAGATTTCTTGCATTGTTTCTTTGGTAATTTCCTTCTCTACATTTTTTTTCTGTTTTTTTTTTCTTTTCAAACAGAGGTATTATGATGTCATATTCTGTATATTACTGATGACTACTGACTTTTATTGTCTTTTAATTGATTTTCTTTTTGTTCTAATTTCCAAGAGGTTTCCTCAGCTTTATTTTCTCTTATACAACATTTAAAAATTCTCCTATAATGTTTTTAGTTTCTACGAGTCCTTATATGTTCTCCCATTGTTTCTATTACATTGGTATGATCATTTTATTTACAAGCTGGACTGAATAGGGGAAAGACTTTATTCTTTCCCATTTCTCCCTGCTAAATCCCATTCCTTGATGCAATCTCATTTAGGTTCCAAACTTCTTCAGTTACTCCTAGTTAGGAAATAAAAAATCATTTGGTTACTTTTAGTCACAAGAAGAGCATCCTTTTCATGATTTATAAAATTCACATGTAGTATAAAACTCTGATCTGGCTCCCCTTTCCCTTCTTCCTGTCTCCCTACCTTTCCAACCGTGTGTCTGGTTAGGGCTTAGATATCTGTGTTGGTAGAGATGAACAACTGACATTTCTACTTCTCTGCTTCTCCTTCTACTACTCTCTGCTTTCTAGATGCTATTTCTGACATTTTCAGAGAAGGAGAGAGGATTAATGAAAAAAGTCCTTTTGTGGCTTGTGCAGTTTGTAATCTGATGATTTCCTCTGAGGTGGCAGGTGCACAATTGCTGGCTCTTCCCTTGAGGGATGTTTCTGGAGGCCTACCCAGTGAGGACCTCTGACTTCAGCTCCCTTTTTGTGGGCAGAGCTGCACTTCAGGAACCACACTGATCTCATCCTCAGCACCTGGACTCTGGCAATCCACAGTTGGGTCACATTTCCCCTCCAGGCAATACTGTTAGGTAGGATTGAACATGACTCCAGGTTGGTCCTTCCATCTGTCCAGCGTGGCCCATGAGAGAACTCACACATTCTTGTCCTGTTGTATATATTGTTCCTAATGCACCCTCCTCTCTTCATTCTGTGTTAAACCAGCAACTCCAGCTGCAAACTTTCCCCATTGCATTTCCCCTAATTACATAGTAGCCACTCCATATCACAGAGTGTAGGGAGGACATGGGACATTCTCCAAATGGTCCCCTTGAAGTTCTTCACATTCAATTTGAAGTTAAAGAACACATACCCTTTTCCTCTCTCCAAAAGTACATTCAAGGAAGCATTGTGTAGGGCACCATACTTGGAAGAGATTGGAAAATTGAGGACTATAGATACTAATTTTTCTCCAACCAGAGGAGGAAAAAGAACTTTCTAATAATGCAGCTCTATAAGCTGCCTAATAGTTCACCTGCTACTGAGGGCAGCAGAAATGTCCCAGCTTGGGCCCCAAAGTAGGAATATATCCCTGACACATTGCTTTAGTCCCAAGATCTATATCTCTTATCCACAATGTTCTAAAATAGTCAAAATATATGCCACTGGTAGTCACAGAGACAGGGACATAATATCAGAAGAAATATTTTGATAATTAACAGTACTTATGTAGATTTTGAAGGACTGCTAGAGAAGAGTTGTTGGGGCAGGATCATGAGCATCAGATCGACCTGGGTTTGACTTTTAGCCCTATCACTGATTAGCAAGTGACCTCAGGCAAATTATTAAACATCTTAGAATTCTATTTGCCAAAAAATATTAACAGTAACACCTATATCCTAGATAGTTGTCTGTATGCTGGATAGCCAATTTATCACTCCATACCATCAGCATCATAAGCCTGTCTAAGGCTGGGTACTACCTTTCCCAGAATCTCCTTTTTTTTTTTTTTTTTTGAGATGTAGTTTCACTCTTGTTGCCCAGGCTGGAGTACAAAGGCATGATCTCGGCTCACTGTAACCTCCACCTCTGGGGTTCAAGTGATTCTTTTGCTTCAGCCTCCTGAGTAGCTGGGACTGCAGGAGCCCACCACCATTCCTGGCTAATTTTTGTATCTTTAGTAGAGACGGGGTTTTGCCATGTTGGCCAGGCTGGTCTCAAACTCCCGACCTCAGGTAATCCACCCGCCTCAGCCTCCCAAAATGCTGAGATTACAGGCATGAGCCACTGCGCCCGGCCAGAATCTCCTTTCTCATGTAATTCCAGGTTGGAGTTAGTGAATGAGACTTTGAGTTTGTGACCTGTGCAAGACTTGGTAGGCAGAAGTGAGGGGAGACCATTGTTCTCAGGGTAAATCTTGCTGAGGCTTATCAGACATGGTCACCAGACGTGGGAGTCCACAGCCCTTTCTATGAGCTCTCACTCTGTAGTGATGGCAGGATTCTCAGTCTTTACCCATGAGCTTTCTACCCATAACAGGCTTTAGGCTGAAGTCATTAGCAACATTTTTTTCCAGTCTTTGGGCTGTCACTATCTAGACTTTCACTCCTTTACCCTCTCTCACATCTGGTCAAGCTTACATTTCTATATGAAGCTTCTTATTCCTGTACAACCTATAGTGGCTCTGATTTCCTGACTGAACCATTATGGTACAGCATGCACAATCTAAAGACATGTAGCAAGGACTTAATCAATCATAGCCAATAATAATAATAATAATCAGAAAAGGCATTGTTTAGAATAATTTGAGACCAATAGATGAATGAAGTTAAACTATGTGAGTCCCATTGTTTAGGTACAGCAAAGATGAGGAGGGATACAAAAGGAGACAATCTTCATAACCTAATGACAAGAACTGCTCCCATTTCTGTAACACTTTTCAATTCACAAAGTATTTGCATATCAGCTGTCTCTATAGTTGCAGAGTTTAGGTTTCCAATCAATGAATTGACCACATGCTTTATTACATGTACCGTTGTTACTATGCTGCATGGTAATTAGGCATAAGTGGTAGTAGCTGGTTTATAAATGACTGCAATTGGAATTAATTTTAGGGAGCCAAATTTTTTTCTTTTGGTTCACAAATATGGACAATTTTTCTTCATATTTGTTTTATAGTCTCATAGATAAAAAGGCAAGTCTGCATTTTTCCTCAGATCCATTCCTTTTTTCTGCTCTCTTCCAGGGCTGGGGTTTCTCTTCTCCTCTCTACACTCAATTCCTATCCTTCCTTTGCCTATGGACGTCATAAGAAGAATGTCCTGTTGGCCTCTGAATCTGGCTTTCCTCATTGTTTAAATGGCACCAACACTACCAGAATGTCTGGAAGCACAAGGCTGTAGACGATCCGCCCCAGGAGCAAAGCATAACCACTTTGACACAAAGCAAGGAAGGGGAGACCAGCCTAGGGAAGGGGAAGGAGGAAATGCATATCCAGTGTTTTGTCTCTGGGAGTTTTGAACCAGAAGTAGACTGGAAAGCTTACGAAAAAGATAACGGATTCTTTTCAGGATCCTGGCAGTAGAAGGAGCCAGTTCTTTGCTAAGGCAGGAACTGGACAGGATGAGTCAATGTTCCATCTGGGACTCTACACTGTGGCAAAAGGAACTCGTGCTGACAGGTACTCCCCTTCACTTCTGAAGGTTTGAAGACTAAGCATCTAACAGCTGCATTGAAACTAGCTCCCAATAGGACCAGAGGGGTGTGTGTGTGTGTGTGTGTGTGTGTGTGTGTGTGTGTGTGTGTGTGTAAGGTTTCAAGTATGTGCTGCTTGTTAGGAATATTGACTGCTTGAACAGAAACATGCTTTCAGCGATGCACTGTCCATATTTCATTTCAAGGGAGGATGTGTTGCAGCTGCTACTGGGAGTGCTCTCTGCTGTCAGCCCCATTTAGAGGTTACCTTCACCTTTTTCAAGGTTACAGCCTTCCTAAGGAGGCTCATTTTGGCCCAAGGCAGGTCACCTCTGACAAACCATTTTAGTTCATGACTCCTTGTGGGGCTGGCTGAGGCTGTCAGGCCTGCCTTGCAGCTTGACTTCTCCTTCTACCCAGTTCTGCCCCCTGGCCCTCCCCTCCATAGGTGTTGATCTCAGGGGCCCTCACTAATAAACATTCAGCACGTTAAACTTCATCTCTGGGTCTGCTTTCCAGAGAATCCAGTCTGCAACAGACTGTTCTTCATAACTTCAATATTTGTTAATATCTCTATTTTACAGTTATCTCCTCTGCCATTTTCTTTGACCTCACTGCTTTATACCTGTTTTATTCATTTACTCTCATTTCATGAAGTTTTAAGAGGAAATTGAGATGAATGCATGTGTCTGCCCTGGCATTCAGTTACTGTCATTTTATGGAGTTTTAAGAGGGAATCAAGATGCATGCGTGTGTCTGAACTGGCATTGCATTGGTCACAGTTAAATTGCAGATAATATAATTTATTCTAGCTATTCAAAACAGAAAGGGTATTTTCAGGGTATTCAGTAATGAGGAAGACTATTGCAATACTAGTCTATGGATTCTTCATTCTTCCTTTACAATGTATCTCTGCCACTCCTTCCCTGAAGGGTTTGAGTCTATTTCCCTAGAGCTTGAATCTGGGCTGGCCTTTTTACTTGCTTTGGCTAACAGAATGTGCTAGAGGTGATGGTATGCTGTTTCTAAGCCAAGTTCTCAAGGGGCCTCGCATACTTTGGAATCCTGTGTACTTTGGATCCCTTTTGGAATCTTTCCTTTGCCATGAGAACAATCCAGCCTAGCCTGCTAGAAAGTGAGAGGCTACATGGAACGATGGTGAGTTGTCCTAACTGAAGGCATCTGAGACCAGCCAGCTTCTAGCTAACCCATCAGCTGGCCACAAATTCATGAGCAGGCTTAGTCGGATTAGCCAAACACAACCTACATCAACAGAACTGGTCAACTGACCCAGACATTCAAAAGCAATAACAAATGGTTATTATTTTAAGCTGCCACATTTGGGAGTGTTTGTTATACAGCATTATTGTGGCAACAGACAATTGATACAAGTGGCTTAAAGAATCATTAGGAGAGCTGAAGAAGTAGACTCCAGGGCCACATCACAGAACAGACTCACTAAAGGAGCCTACAGTCCAGAAGTCATGGAACCAAAAAGCTGCCTGCTAAGTTGAGAAGCCTTTGCTACAAGCTCTGACTTCACCTCTGCTATGATCAGGAAGCTGCTGATAGAGCTGCCAACTTTAGAACCATGCTGCTGTTGCTGCAACTGTCATGATTTACACCACTGTAATAGATGCCTGTGCTCTGCTTTTTTCCCATCTAACTCAGTTTATGCAAGTGCTTCTGATCAGCAGAATGTAAATTATACCCGCACTTCAGCTGCAAAGGGGTCTAAGGTCAAAGGGATTTTTAGTTTTCCAGCTTCTGCAGTAGGAGAAGGAGGTTGGAATGATTTTGGAATGAGTCAGTCTCAGCATCACCACAGCATGATTAAGTAAAATATATATGATTCCTGAAACTTCTTCCATAGATAGTACTCAATGATACTAAAACAATATATAGATATATATGCAGTGTTTTACATTTGGGCATATCATTACGTTGTCAACCATCATTCATTCAATTAACAGAAGTTGAGAGGCTAAAGGATGAACTGAACAACATGGTACTAAGATTTTATGAACTAATTGCTCCAGCAGAATACATGTAAAAATCTTTTAAGGGAATCAACAATTATAAGCCACAAAGGAGAGGAAACTGACTTTCTATTCTGAAAAATTTTTGATTCCTTATTGATACTTCAGATACCATAATTAGTAGAAAGACAGGCGATTTCAGAAAGAATAATAGTAGCCATCTGGGCTTAAGCTGCAGTTATTAAGGTGCATATACATGCATTCTGTGATAAAACAAATATTTAAAAATTTATTTTGGCATAAAGGTAGGGATTTACAAGATTCTTTGAAAGGCTGATCTGACCTCAAGACACAGAATCTGATTTTATGAGATGAGCGAATTAATGCTTTCAAATCAGCAGTTAGCAATTCCAGAAATTATCTGGGTCCCTGTGAGGTCTTTCCAAAGAGATGGTGAGTTAGGACAATAAATAATCAGTGAAGAAAAGGAAAGGCAATTGTTAGAAAACAGAATCATACAGTGAAGGTATTAAAATGAAAGAAATTTTGTGCCCCAAGTTTATTCCCTGGGCCTTGTTCAGCTGCAGCACAACATTATTACGATATGTGAGACTTGCCAGTGGTTTATGCCTTACTGAGAACTGCTTTACTCAGCATGGCCTTGTATGGTGAGGAATCCTCTAGGCTCACCAAAAAGAAAAAAATTCCTGTTGTCAAGAGAACCTGGAGTCCCTCCAAAAGGTGCCCCACTGATTCAAAAGCCAGACACTCCCTTGTCAACAAAGGCATCTCCCGGCTAAAGTCTGCAGGGCAAATTGCACTTGGCTCATTGGTAAGTCTTAATCATAGACCCTATTTATTCGATTCTTACTGACATTAATGTGAAGTATCAGCAATTTTGCTTCTCAGACAGAAACCATGGATTTAATTTTGTCATTTTTCTTAGTTGTGCAATCAGAAATTCATTCATAGGAGGAAAAATCAGTTAATACCTATGGAAAAATGCAAAAGAAAGCGGTTGTCAGACTGATTGCTTTTTGGCAAAGGCTGAGCTCAAGATTTACCAATGAAAGCCCAATTAAGTGTGACCTGAGAGAATGCTACAGAGCTAAAGAGCATTACTAAGCCCCAAAACTGGAATTTCAGTTACCTTGTAAGGTATTTCAGAGAAAATTACATATATGTAAATACAAGGCTGTGTATCACTATATTGATAAAACAGTAGTTTCTAAACAGCATTACTCTGATTTCTGAAGCAACAAGGAAAAAAAAAAGACAACAGAAAGCAAGTAATTTACCTTTCTGAGAACTGATCTTGAGCACATGTGAGTTGAATCTTCTTAAGGAACGTCTGGCTTGGATTCAGCTACCCAGGGCAGAACAAAAAAAGGAAAAGGCCTCTAGATCAGGTGTTTCCCAGGATGGAATTTAAAATCAGCTCCTTTATCCTGCCTGCTCTTTAATCGCCCATCATGGATCAAACTTTCTGGCTCCAGATTTAAAAGCAATATCTTTAGAATACCAAGGTGCTCACACTTAGCCCCTTTCTCACTTTCTCCTTTCTATTTCCTATGCTCTTTGTGTACGTATAGGTCCCCTATTAGAAGATTATAATCATATTCGAAGGCAGGGGCTATGTCTTATTCATCTTTGTACCTCCCTTCTTCAGCCTTCGTCTGATGTGTTTGCTCATATACACTTTTCTTTTGTTAAATAAAAATAAATATAGCTAGAGGTAAATACAAATTCTTCAATGTTTCAACTGCTACTGAGAAAATGATAGATTATTAATTTGTGAAGTGGTTGACTTCCTTTTTTTAATAGAATGAGTAGTAGATGAGGATATCTACATTTCAAGTGCAAACAAAATTTGTTTCAAAGGATTTTGATATGTTTTTGTCTCTAAAAGGAGCAACAGCCTTATTGTGATAACTATGTCAAGATAAATCTAGAAACGGCCAATGGAGTTATTTTATTTAAGGAGAATAGCCCCAATGGTAACTATCCATACCTTAACGTTTCCTTATCTTCTCAGTAAACTGAATAAAATGCTCTTTTCTTTACAGCTGCCGCTAATGGAGCTGGACTCATGAGTGAGGAAGTGCCTGTGAATGACATCAGTATACAACATCATACAACAGGTTTTCTTTCTTTTATTCACTTTTCTTTCTTTTATCTCAACTTATGGTATACCATACAGAGTCTTCTAAGCCTTGCTTTTTTTCTTTGAGAGTTTTCTATGTTAGCTCATAAAGAGGTGCCTCTTTCTTGTTAGGGGTTATATGGAAATATCCAATTTAATAAGCAGTTGCATGTCAGTTCCAGTCTTACCCTTCAAACTCTACAAACCACATGACCAGCTCCCTGTTATGTTTGCCAAGAAAGGATGCTAGGGAAAGACTGGGATGCTCTTTTTCTTGCTGTTCCTCCCCGCAGCACCTGAACAGTGATCTTCTACTCCACAGTGGCAGTGGGTTGCAGTCTCCAGCTTTTCTTTTTTCCAGATGTTCCCAGAGGCAGTCTCATTTTGTCTCCTCAGAGGCACCCCACCAGTGGGGTAGTGACCCTTTCTCAGAGGTCTGACCAACTCCAGGAGGCCTCTCCTACAAACCTCCACATTTTAGTAACCTCAACATTTTCTTTTTGTTCTCTCAGGCTTAGAGTGTGAGCTGCTTTCTGGACGTCCTCTTCTCTATTTCTCCTTTTGGCTTTAAGTTCTCCAGTAACTAATGAACCAATAGCTTATATTAAGTTCTCTTTGTTGAAATGCCTAGCGTAGGGTCTGTTTTCCTGATTGGACCTAACGTATCTGTGCAGGATCAGAAGGCCTAAAGGAGAACAGCTTGCACTACTCTTTGGATTTGGATGAACCGTAATATATTTGACTAGTTCTCTCTAAATGGACATTTAGGTTTTTTTCAACCTTTCATAACTAGAAATAGTACATTAAACAACCTTAAATTAATATTTTTTTTTCACATATGTGTGAGTCTATCTGTAAGACAAATTAATAGAAGAGGAACTCCTGGATCAAACTGCCAAAATGCCTTTCATAGAGGTTGTGCATTCAGTCTCTCAAAGGTGATAGGCAGAAATCTTTGTATGAGTAACAGAGAAATCAATGAAGGGAAGAGTGAGCCAGGTGTGATACCATTGTCCCAGTAAGAGCGCTTAGCTAGTGGGAGAGAGAAGCACAGCATGAGATCTGCCACTTGAGGAGTTGCTTTTTGGCCTAGACTCTAAGGACTTCATTTTAAGCCCTTTGGAGTTGAGAAAGGCTAAAATACAAATGAAAAGGCGGCTCTCTAAGATACAGTGTTACTCACTTCAAAGAGGGTAACGCAAAAAGGAGAGGGGCTTTGCCGTAGATTACCACCAATGCCAGGCAGTTTGAGGAGTGGCTGTGCCCAGTTGCTATGCCCAGTGGAGACTCAGTATCAAGCTAAAGTGGCTGTGATAGCCAGTAGCAAGAGTGACACCTACAGATGTATGGCTATTGGGACAAGCGGCAGGGGCACATACTCTGTGGTTGCTGTGAGCACACGGGAAATACCTCCTAGGGACTCCCCAAACATGGGTGGAACTTTGTAGGGTACTGGGTACTGTTTCCTGCAGTAGCAGAGAAGATAAGAGCTGGTAAAACACAGGCTACAAACTCATTTACTAAGGTTGTCACTTTTTTTTTTCATTTCTATATCTTTGCCTTTTAAACTGGGGTAGGCTTTTAACAATAGCAAAGTAAAATCTTCTTCCTTAAGTCTTTATGATACATCTCTAGGAAGCCTGAGATGTGACTAAGTTGTTTTTACCATCTGCTGTTTGGTTTTCCTGTCATTTACTCCCTGCTCAGCAGAGCTCTTCTGCAGTGATCTTTGCCCTTGTTTAGCAGACAGGCTACATTTTACACATTTGCTTTTGCGGATTTCACCTTAGCATTTTGTGGTAACAAAGCAGTGTGTACAACCAGGGTTGTGCTTTTCTTACCCTATAAGATGGGCTGCCTTCCTGCAGATGACTTTTATGTTCCACTGTGTCTTGTTTGTGCCATTCTTAATTTACACGACAGAGATGCTGTCATCACCAATTAACATTAATCAAGGGCCCCCTGGATACATGGCGGCATCGGGACTAATATAATATGCTCTTTGTTCCAGATATCAGGTGGCTTCTTCAAATGAATTTTTAAGTATCTCAGTGATGATGAAGAACAGAGACATCAATCAGGATTCAGGAAGACAGCTTTTGCGGAAAATGCTTACCGGGAAGCAGCAAGGGTTGGTGTTGATATTTGAAAGTTTAGGAGAGGTATACTTTTATTCAGTCAACACATGACAAATGTAAAAGGCAGTCATTTGTTGTTCCTGGAAGAAGACTGGCAGCATTCCATTCAGACATCTGCCCTTTCATCATCCCACTTTTTATTTATTGCAGTCCTTGTAGTCTGAATATTTCCTCCTGAGGCATTTTCTGCCCTCAGAAATGACTCCCTGATCCCAGTTCCTGCAGCCCTTATCATTGACACCTTTCATTTGACACATTTCATTACACCATTATTGAATAAATATATGTACTTCCTTCCCAAGTATATTAGAGAGCTATCTGGACAGTTTATTTCTTTCCCAATTCTCAGAATCAGCAGTGTTCTGTCAAGAAATATTTATCGACGATGATGGCAATAGTCTATTAAAATCAGATGAAGTTTTGTTTTTAAAAAAAGGGTGAGAGGAGAGACAAGGCTAAAGGGTTGAAATTGAGTCTCACAAGCATCTCTAATAAACGTTTCCTCATCTTAGCGCTGTATGTGTATCATTTTGGAGAGGGTAGAGATTGAGGGAGGAAGAACATCACTGGAGGAAGAGACAGCACTTTGTCTTTCGAGTTTCAATAAAGTTTCAAAAATCCTGCCTAAGCTATATTTATTTTTGGCCTTTCCCTTTTGATGTGACAATAAACTGTAATGCGGCTGTCGGCTGTATGAACCGATATTCAGCAGAATACATCTGAGCACTTTCCTGTCAGAAAAAGAAGCGTTCGGTTCTGTCACAGATTTTAGAATTAAGAACACACTTTCACGTTTGATGCTGTCAAGTACCTGGGCCGGCGAGGCTGGCGGCTGGCGAATTCCACCAGCAGGCAGACGCATTCCTGCGCGGGAGCCCGCGAACCAGGCGCCAGTCCACCCAACCCAGGGCAGCACTACTGGGGTCCCGCCCAGCCCGGTTCCGGGAGCCTTATTGGGAGTCCTTCCGCCCGCCATCTCTATCAACCCCCAGGATTTGGCACGGGAGGTGGGCGGCTCCCTTTCAGGCACTCATTGGTCAAATCCTAATGGCGGTAAGGCAGTCTGCGAGTCTCTATTGGCCCTTAGGCTCCAAGATGGGCGGGGAAAAACAGAGCGACGGGGCTCTAGGCGGGAAGCGCGGAGTGCGCCGGCGCGTAGTCGGGGACGCCGGACCGTGGCTTTGCTAGGGAACCGACTGTTATCGCCCCGCCCCCTCGGAGCTTTTTGTCCCGTTAACTGTCCGAGTGGCTGGGGCTCCGGCGCCGGACGACATGCCGGTGCGCTTCAAGGTGAGGCTGGGGTTCCCGGGCCGGAATGTGGCTGAGAGGAGCCTCCGCACCTTTAGGCTGGTGCGGAGCGTCGAGGTCACGTTGCTCTTCTGCGCCTCAGTCCTCGGCCCGGCTGACGCTGCCAGCCCCGGGGCCTGCCTGCGGGGCCCCAGAATCTCTCCCTTGCGTCTTACCTAGCTCCCTCTCCGCTCACTCACATTTCCAGGTTGCTGTATGCGGAAGAGTCAGCTGGTGCGAGATAGATTTACTTAGGGGGACTCAAGAGGAGTGGAGATGGGAGGAGGTCACTTTGCAGAGAGCACCAAAGGCTACTTCAGATTCGGTTTAGCATTTAACCCCCATTACTTTTAAAACTTTAGTGTATGTGGCTTTTAAAGGCTTGAGAAATGGGTTCTTAGTAAAGACGGGGTATAAAGAAATACACATTTTTCATCGTGCATTTTGTCCTAGGGTATGTTAAAAGTTCCAGGTAGCTGGTAGCTGTCAGGGACTAGCATCCTGCAACTTGACAGGTGGCCACAGCGTCCCACAACTCCTGACTCTTCATTTATCTTAAAGGCTTGTATATCAGAATGGAAGGGAAGTTTGTCTTTTGTTGAGTTATCAAATAGCAAAAGGTCCTAGGCATAATGCATAATATTGTGTATTCGGTGAACACTTGCGATAAATCTAGAAAGATGAGAATTTAGATTGTCACTAGTTATCCGACAAGAACTCATGCTTTGGAATCATAACAAGTGAAAGGGTAACCCCTGAGCCTGGGATTCCTGTTAGCATCTGCCTCAAGTGGTGTTGAGGATTAAAGGATATAACACGTGTGAACTGCTTAGCATAGGGCTGGGTAAAATTAACTCTTATTAAGGAGCTCGTCTGTGTTTAATTTTCAGTCTGAAGTCTCTCTTGGGAGGTTCAGAAATTATTTTTTTTTACTAATGTCTGCTTTAAAACATCATTCCTTAATTGCACTATATTTAAAGTGTACTTTGCATTACAGGGGCTGAGTGAATACCAGAGGAATTTCCTGTGGAAAAAGTCTTATTTGTCAGAATCTTGTAATTCCTCTGTGGGGCGAAAGTACCCGTGGGCTGGACTTAGATCGGATCAATTAGGTAAGTTGAGCAAGCTAATACCCCTTCCGACTTGGGCTAAGTTTATAACTTGGGCTAAGCCGTTATAACTTGGGTTAATTGAACCTTGGGCTAAGTTTACCAAATGATTTATTAAAAGTTCGGTTCCTGATTGATATATTCATTTCTTAATCAAATATTTATTGAAGGTTTACTATGAGCTAGGACTGTTCTCAGCTCCTAGTGGGGCAGGCCAGGTTTCATTAATGCAGGCCTCCATCATAACTTTCAGTACTGACTGAATGGTTAAGTTAAATATTAAAAGCTAAGAAAAGCCAGTGCCCTTACACAAAGGCTGGGATGTAACAAAAGTCCATCAAGAGTTTTGCCTACGCCTTTCCTGGGCTGTAATGCATGACAAAATAAGGAATTCTTAACAGGACTCTTTTAGGATTAAACAAATTTTACTGGAGGTCTGAAGAAACTCCCGAGGCTTCCACAAACAAGTTTATTGGAGACCTGAAAGAACTCCCCAAACCTCTGTGATTTAGCAGGAGACAAGATAAGGGTAATCACCCCAGCACCTAGATCCACTTAGATTAAGTAAATTTACTGAGGCTGCAGAAAAAGGTCTTCAGGACTCAGACTTGAGTTATAGATTAAAAGAAGATAATCACTTATGTCCTTAGATGAACACTTAATGGTATATAAGCTCTGACAAACTTTGTAATTTTGTGTTTGTATGGCAATAATTTCCTGGCCTTCTCACTGTAACCCTTTATTGAAATAAAAACTCTTTTTCTCCCTAGTTCCTGTGCATCTTGTTATTGGGCACAAGAAATAGCAACCTGAACCTCAGTTTGGTCTGGGAACATTAGGAATATAGCCCTGAAACAAAGTCCCTTAACTGTGGAGAGAAACAGCAAGTCACCCAATAAATAAGGGAATTTCAGGGTTTTATATAAAATTGTAGGGAAGTGTGATAGGTAACATGGGGGAGGGGTGGATTGGAGGGAAAACGCTTTACATTAGATGGCTTGGAAAGGCTCTTTTTGAGGAAGTGATATATTTGAGCTGTGACCTGAAAGTTGAAAGGACAAGGCTGGGGAAGAGTACTCCCAAGGTCTTGAGGAATAAAAGCTTAGGAAGATTACATTGCTTTCCCCAGCTTTTCAGCTAGTAAGTGGCAGAACAGTGATTTGAAATCAAGTCTGTTTTGTGCAAAACAAATTATTTCAGAGGTCATATTCTTGTTATCACATATGCTTCCTCCCTGTATCCCAGAGAAGTCAGAGTCCTGGGCCAGGGTTTCCTAGAGGCCTATAGAAGAGAAAGGAGACAGACTGATTTCATTGTACCTGCTTGTTTAATTCCTCCTTACTAGCATATTAGAGCTTATTCACCACCTTGTTCCTACCCGGTACCTAACATAAGGCTTCGAACAGTCTATTGCTTCTTGATACTAATTTTTGAATGAATGAATAAGCCTAAATTTGAATCCACGATAGCTGTGTGATGTGGGCCTAATTGAGCTGATTTCACCAAGTGAGATTTTAGGAAGCAATCCTGTTGCATAGGATTGCTAGGAGGGTTAAATGAAATGTTGCATATTAAGGGCCTGCTTCATGTACATGGATCAGTGCTTAGTGTCCTACATGTGATATGTGCAAGCGGGCAGGTAAGTCACATAAATGTTAGATATTTGAAGCCAGGAAAAGACTTATGGGTAGTGTACCAAGCCTGAGAAGTTAGGAAGATGCAGAGGTATTTTGAGGATTAGGTCTGGAGAATAAAGGGAAAAGTGGGCAAGAGTGGGTGTCTCTTTTAGGGCTTCTCCGAAGCATCATGATCTGACCCAGAGCCAAACTTCAGAGACTGGGTATCCCTGCTTCCCTAGCAGGGTGCTAGGAAAATCCCTCTACTCATAATCCTCTTTTTACAAATGACCAGAAATGCCACATAGTTGAGCCTCCATTAGATTAAGAATCCAAATAAATCTCTGTTTAAGCATAGATATCCCACCCTGCTGAGAGCCTGCAGGGCAATTATGACACTGGAAAATTCGTTAAACTGCATAGTTGTCCAGTAACATTTCAGTTTAGATGAGCTGCATTTGAGGGGAAGGTGATGAAATGAGACCATAGGAGCAAAGCCACCTTAGAGTATGGTATGTAATGAAGGAAGGAATGAACTAGAAGAGGAACGTTAGTGGGAAATTTTAGGTCAGGAGGAGGGACCGAGCAAGACCTCCATATTGCTCAGAATGGGAGGTGGGAGGTTAGCAAAAAAAAAAAATAGCGGTATTACCCAGGACTGGTAGTACCTTCTTTTAGAGTAGTATATTTTTACCCTGGGGATTTGCTGGTGCTGAGAGACGACAGCAGACCAACTTAAGCATCTTCTTTCATTTTGCTCTTCTACCAAAAACCTGCCTCTGTGTTAAAGCAGAGAGAAGTCTAATTGGTGATCTTCAAGCGTTTTTGCTTTTATACTTCCTAGAAAAATTTCGAAGAACATTGTGCCCCCATCACACATTTCTAAATTGATATTTTTTATAATAAATTTTTATGAATAGTTTTGAATGATATAATTTCTGGTATATTCATAGTGCTCATATGTTTTACATATATTTTGTAAAAACTTTGGAACTGCCAATTCAGCCCATTCCATTTATGGAAAATATGTATCATACAGTTGGCAAAGTCAGTATCCATTGGGAAAGTAACTGGCCAAGAATTATTTTCTGTGAGGAAAAAAGTCTGTTTATCTTTAATTAAGGTAAATGTGTTAATATGCATTATGTACATTTCACATGACATCCCTCTCATACCTGAATTTTAATACTAAGAAAGTAGATGGAAAATTCTTGGAGCTATATGAAATAAGGTGCTATTCCTTTGTTATTTCTAATATCTACCTGCTTTGCTTTGCTGTCAAATAGTCTCCCTCGGTGATAAGCTTAAATTGTCCCTTTGTTTGGCTCCCTAACCCTGAGATCTTGTTCTACCCTGGGGGGTGCACTGGAGTAAGTTTCCAGCTGGTTAAGAGGTGTGTCTTTCTTTTGTAAAGTGGGAAAAGGGAGATTATGAAAGGGGCTGTGGGAGATGGAACTGCAGATGGCAGATGCAGCTCTCAGGCAGATAGATCAGCATCAGGCGAGAGAGCACATATGGAGTTAAGGATCTGGAAAATGATTCCCTTATGCTGCCCACTTCTGTTTACCCTCCCTGAAACATCTTTGTGTGCCTCCAAACAGATATCCACTCAGCATGAAGGCCTCTGGTCTAGGGAAGCCTTTTAAAAGGGTAAGGACCCTGGGTGCCATGGCCAACACACCTACAACAGAGGCTAAGGAACCCTGGGTTTTACTTTGTGCCCAATTTTCTTTCCACCTTCCCTTTCTTTCCGTTCTGGTCTTAATCTTTCTTCTCCCCCCTGCAACATACTTAAAGAATGGCCCTAAACTAGGGCAGTCTCTCAGTGGCTGTCATTCTGCAAAGCTCCTCTTACCTCCATAGAAAGTTAAGTTTTTGAACATTTCCTTTTCAGACAGAAATATAGAGAAATTGTATCTTAGCTCTTGTTAAAAGGGCTTATTCTTTTTTAATTCTCAGGAAATCAAGGCAGATGTAGAACTAAGATCCAGCATAATGACATCTCATCCCTTCTCATCTTGGTCTGCTCCACATAAGAGCAGCTTTGTGAAAAGTTCCAAATTTTGACAGTACCAGGGCCCATTGTTCCGTTAAGTAGCACAGGAAAGTAATTAGAAACGGAGGCAACATGTACTGCCTGGCTTGCCAGGTCTATCATGTGGCAATTCTAGTGACTTTTGTTAGGATAACTGGAACATTGTGACCCCCTGATTTTTAATTTTTGTTATGGTTAGATTTTTAATACTTTTAAAAGCAAAATTAAATATTTTATGTTGGAAAACTGAACTTTTAAAATCATATAATCTGAAGGATATTTTGTGGATATATAAATAAATATATCTGAACTAAATTTTAAATTTCATTTCTCCTTCGTAAGTGTTCCTAAAAGTTATCTTTGTAACTTTTTGCTTTGGTAACTGCTATTTTTGTATACTGTGTTTTGTAGGGATCGTGAAAGAGCCAAGTTTTATTTCAAAAAGAAGAGTCCCTTACCATGACCCACAGATATCAAAATCTCTTGAGTGGAATGGAGCTAACTCAGAGAGCAATGTGGTTGTATCACCAGAACCAGAAGCCCCGGAAACACCAAAATCACAAGAAGCAGAACAAAAGGATGTTACTCAAGACAGAGTTCACTCACTAGAAGCTTCCAGGGTTCCCAAAAGAACCAGATCTCACTCTGCAGACTCCAGAGCTGAAGGCGCTTCCGATGTTGTGGAAAATAATGAGGGTGTAGCAAATCATAAACCAGTTAGTGAAAATGTGGAACTGGAACAGTCTATCAAGGTTCTTTCGGAAAATGTAGATAATGGGGTAGGCATATTCACTGTATTTCTTTTGAAAAGCATAGAATTCTTTGTTGGTGTCATCCCCATTTCAGTAATATTACATTTTGTGTTTCAGAATTTTCCATTGTTTTCTTGTCTAATGTCTATAAGAATAGTTGATAAGAGGCTGTTGACTTTAGTTACTGTGAATTAGTTCTATTATTACTACTTGCTATTTCGTACTAGTTATACTATGACATCCCTTCATTGGATAGCCTTCCTGCCTTTGGATTTTATTCATCCTATATTTTCACCTGAGTCCTAAGGGAGAGATCAAATTGAGACAGAGAAGGGGAGTAGGTCCTTACTTCTGGCAAGGTGCTCATCTGACTTCTACCTAGTCCCTTTTCAGTTTCTTATCATGTACCAGAAGACAAACAGAAACTCAATTGATGAAATGCAAAAGGAAGGAGAGCTCTGGCTATCTCTCAAAGATCTTGCATTTCTATTCTCTGGTGTCACAGCTGGCCTGCAGCACGTCCCTGTGAGCACATAAGCAGAGGCTGCAGGAACTTACATGGGGATCTCACTGCCTTCCACATTTCTTTCTCGTTTCTGTTCCACTGCTTCTTCTCTGGTTCATGTCCACCACTGACTGGGACCCTGAAGAGGCATTTCAGACTGTTGGAGAAGAATCTCTAGCTTGTTGAAAAAGGTGGGGGTGAAAGGGAATAAGGAAGGTGATGTGTGAGTCTGGTGGACAAAAAACGGAGTTCACAGAAGCAGTGTGCAGATGAGGCAAGATGCTGGGACTTTTTGGTAATAGATTTAATGATGAATGATTAGTAGGAAAGGACTGAGAGGTATTATATTTTTCTTAGGATGCATAATAGTTCTTTGATAGAAAGGAATTTTAAATGGTTTGACGCTTGAAAAAAGATACTATTTATAAGTTGAAAAAATTTTGCTGTACCATAATGCACATGTAGTTAACAATTTTGTACTGTAGACCTAAAATTTTGTTAAGAGGGTAGATTTCATGTTTTGCATTTTTTACTACAATTTTTTAAAAGTTTGAATAGAAATTTTTAATGTCTTTGAGTGGATTCTTTTTTTGAACAGTTGGATAGACTTCTACGTAAGAAAGCTGGATTGACTGTTGTTCCTTCTAATAATGCCTTGAGAAATTCTGAATATCAAAGGCAATTTGTTTGGAAGACTTCTAAAGAAACTGCTCCAGCTTTTGCAGCCAATCAGGTAGTTTAATGGATGTAATACATTTCTGAGTACCATTATCTAGTAATGTAGATTTACTTAGAATTAGGAGTTGAAAGAAATTGGGTACTTAAGTAGCCTGGAGGTAGGTTCTAGAAAGCCAAAAATGAGAGTTTTACTAAAATCATCTGTTACTTATGATTTATAGTAGTAATATTATACTGTCCTAGGCTACTGATGATCATTGTTGCCAGATGCATCACATATACTAAATATGAGACAGGGTAATGAAAACTTGGGGAACTGGTAAGTTTTTGCATGCTATAAGATTTTTTTACTTATTAAAAAATCATTAAATTGATTTTATTCTAAAATGTTGTGTGTTGTTGACTAAAATATTGCATGTTTCCTGTATTCCAAGAGAGGCATAACTGCTTTGAATAATTATTTTAATAAATATAAAGTACGTTGACAGTAACACAAGATATGTAATTTTGTCCTTATATCAGATGAATAGTAACAGGCATTGTCAGTATAACTATATTTGTAAAATTCAAAAGCTGTAACAATATGATATTAGATTACATTATACTTTTGCACTATTTTAGTATTGAGATACCACTACTAATAAATAGTCTGTTGTTTTACTACCTTCATCCTTTAGGCAGTTCTTAGGCTTTTAACTCTCATTTATGTTCTTCATAGTACTTCTAGGCATAGACAGGAAATACCTCCACTCAGAATATCCCCAGAGACCTATAATGGCTTAGTCTTTTTTTTAATCTGGTCTTTGTGATTTTCTTTATAAATACACACTTTCACACGCCCTCATATTCATTTTCTTCTGTATGTCAACATTCACTTGTATATTGTGTACGCCCCTAAGGACTGATGGGATAATTAGATTCAGCAAGACAATAACATCTAGTCATCTTACATTAAGATAAAAAAAACCTAAAAATTGTGACAGCTTTGGGCTTAATTATTATTCAGTTTTTATTTTTGTTTTTTTGTTTTGAGACAGAGTCTTATCCTGTTACCCAGGCTGGAGTGCAGTGGCGTGATCTTGGCTCCCTGCAAATTTTGCCTCCTGGGTTCAAGCGATTCTTCTGCCTCAGCCTCCCAAGTAGCTGGGACTACAGGTGCGTGCCACCAGACCCTGCTAATTTTTGTATTTTTAGTAGAGATGGGGTTTCACCACATTGGCTAGGCTGGTCTCAAACTCCTGACCTTGTGATCTGCCTACCTCGGTCCCCCAAAGTGCTGGGCTCCCAGGTGTGAGCCACCATGCCCGGCCATTGTTCAATTTTTAAAATACCTTTGAAATTTATATAACATTTTAAAATCCTACGAGGTAACAAAGTGGTAAGTACCCTTTATTAACATGGTATATAGGATCGGTACCTCTTTTGCTTGCTACAGGTTTTCTTGAAGATTAAGTGTACCTAAAACATTACTTACAACCTGAAACTTGTAATTATTCAGTTTTTTATAGAGTATTTGACCTTTAAGCTAGAGCTGATTCAACTCAAAGCCCTATCATCAACAAATAGGACTTTTAATGTCAGCGAAAGTGTTGTGTAGAAGTGTTACTTTTATAAGAGAAATCTCTTTCAGTATATTCACTGGCAGTTTTACTGCCTTCTTTAATAAGTGTTTCACATAATTTTTAAAGAAGCAAATGCTCATTGTTCAAAGCATTTCGATTTCAGGGTCTATGGATTGAAGAGCTTTGAGACAGCTTTCAATGCTCGTTAATAGAAAACCTCTAAAAAGGTTGTTCATTTCTATTAGACACCTGCTTTCTGAAAGGATGTCTTATATTAATATGCAAAGGAGTCAGAACAGTTTTTGACAGGAAAGTCCTTGAGGTTATACTGTACTAAAAAAAGATATACTGTTTAGATCTGATCTGTATGAAGATTGTACTGTTCAGCATTACAAAGCAGTAATATAACTTGTTTGAGTTCCTTATCTTTTCCATTTGCTTTCCTTGTAATCATTGGTAGCATGCCATGAAATAGAAACCATATTGTGAAATAGTAGGGGTAAAAGGAAACATTTAACAATAGAAATGTAGCATTTGCTCAGGACATTTTTTTTGCCTTAATAAAATACACTGAAAATAAGCCAAGGGAAGAAAAGTTAAATATTGAACATATTGAGTACTCAAAAATGTCAAGAATTTTCTATTAAAGCAGGAAGAAAAATATCATGTCAGGGAGAAAGAGAAAAACCTGTAGAACTGACAACAGAGTTGCCTTAAAGCTAATGTCTATGTCACATTAAAATATGCCAATATTTATTTTGGTTATAAGCTATATTTTGATTACAAAACTATTATTCAGAACATAGTAATGAGTATATAAAGTTGACATCTGGATGTTAATAATATATGTGAAATGAAATTACAGTCATTTATGATTTTTCTATTTTTTTGTCCTGTAATTCAACTTTATGTATGTTTCATTACGTAATTGAAGACCAAAGTTCTTTGTATTTAATGAACAAAACTAAACTAAACTAATTTTTGTTTTAAGGTTTTCCACAATAAAAGCCAGTTTGTTCAGCCATTCAAAAGTAACTCAATCGTCCTTGAAACTGAATACAAAAGAAATTTCAAGGGTTTATCTCCAGTGAAAGAACCAAAATTAAGAAGTGATTTGAGTGAAAACAGAAATCTTGAAACAGTATCTCCTGAAAAGAAGGTATTCATCAACTTTTAATCTTACCATACAAAATCCCCATTATTTTAGATTCTCCACATTTTCTTTTACTTACTACCACCTGGAAGTTTTTGGTTTTTACTAGTTCATTAATTCATTTGTTCATCAAATGTTCATTGAACCGGCTACTAGGAGCAGACATGGGTTGGTACTGAGAATATAAGGCTGGCAAACACAGCCCCAAGCAGCTCTTGGCTAGTGGAGAGACAGGCATAAATAAAAATGATACAGCATGATGAGTACTTAACAATATAGCAGGTAAGTCTACTATGTTTAATATCAAATGACTGTATTTACAGTAATCTCCAGGGGTAACAGTAGTGATAGAAATACTTATTTTAGGTTATGGAAATTAAACACATATATACTCACATATATTTTATTTTATTTTTTATTTTTTTATTTTTTTCAAGATAGAGTCTCACTCTGTCACCCAGGTTGGAGTGTAGTGGTGCAATCTCGGCTCACTACAACCTCTGCCTTCCGGGTTCAGGCAATTCTTCTGCATCAGCCTACTGAGTAGCTGAGACTGCAGGTGCATGCCACCATGTCCGACTAATTTTTAAATTTTTAGTAGAGATGGGATTTCACTATGTTGGCCAGGCTGATCTTGAAATCTTAGCCTCAGGTGATCCGCCCACCTTGGCCTTCCAAAGTGCTGGGATTATAGGCATGAGCCTTCATGCCCAGGCATCATGTGTATTTTAAACCAAAGCTTTAGCATGCCAAATTATAGCCAGTGTAATTCACATGATTTACCTCAGAATATAGAAACAACTGCTTTTGTGCGAAATTATAGCCTCTTAAGTTGCAGAATCAGGCTAAAATGATTATAAATTACAGGTAAATGGGGTATAAATACTATTTTTGAATCTCCTGGAATGTTGATACCTGATGTGTTATAGGTCCTAAAAATAGAAAGTGTCTAATTACAGGTAAATATGACTGAAAGTAAAATGATCTATACACACACACACACACATTGGGCCTATGATATTATTGTGGAAAAAAAGATTGTCATTCAGTAAGGTAACCTGGTAACTAATTCATCAGGATCCTATGTTTAGTTACTGTAACACAATTATAAATTTAGAATATCAAGTTCAGTATGTGCTAACATTATTTAGATACGTATTTGTTAACTTAAAAGTTTTCTTCCTTAGCCAAAGATCTGAAATCTTCATTGTTAGAAAATGAAACTATATCCTGAGCGAAACTTCAAAAATAACCAAATATACTAAAAATTTCAAAATTTGTTTGTTGATTTCTTATGATTTTTGTTTTCTTTAGTATTTAAGCTTCTAAAAATGGAAATGTAATTAAATATTCAAATCTAACTTTATAACATCCATGTTTTCACTTTGATGTGTAACATTTTAAGCATAAAAAGCTTAAGTTATTTCCATTTCAGTGTAATAAAATAGACGATCCTTTAAAATTGGAAGCAGAGATGGAATTGAAAGCCTTACACCAGCCTAAAAAGAAGCTTACTCCTTGGAAACATCAAAGGCTCGGGTATGTATTTTAATAGGAAAATACGGTATTTCAGTGATCAAATGGTGAAATATTTACTTTCATTTCATTTCTATTAGGAAGGTGAATTCTGAATATAGAGCAAAATTTCTCAGCCCAGCTCAGTATTTATATAAAGCTGGGGCTTGGACACGTGTGAAGGGAAGCATGCCAAATCAGGTGAGTGTACATGAGCTCAATAAGCCCTCATGTTCTTCCAGCCTCTATTAACACTTTAATTTCACAATGAGTTCTATTAACACTTTAATTTCACAATGAGTTCCATTTGGTAACAGAGACCACAATTTAAAGAAGTATGATTCAGTAATAGCATTAAAAGTATCAGGAACGTATGTATTAGGATGTAAATTATCAGTGTGTGTTTTTTTTAATGGCACTGGCTCTTCAGAAATTAGTATGTATTGAAGTCTTTTAAGTTAGTGCTTTTTACTGTCAAACATTTGATTGTGCTAATAGACTCAATTTGTGGAATTATATCATTATAGATTTGATTATTTCATAATCTCCAGACCTCCACTCTATCAACTGAAAATTAATTTTCAAGATTAAATAATTTGTCTGATAGGGATGACCATTGTCAGTGTGTACTGTTACAGTTTGTAGGCAAAAGAAAGGTGCAGCCTGTGCTGTTAGAGGCTTGAGCTACAGTGTTGGGGTACTCTAACATATGGAAGAAACTCTGGGGATCTGAAGGTAGGTTTGAGGGGAAGGGTAATTCTAGAGTTGGTAAGTGCTACTTTAGTACTAGCTTCTTATACTCAAAGGATAGACAATGGAACATTTTTGTTATTGTGTAATTAGCATCTTTTAAATCATATCTTGACAGTTGTTCTGTGAGAACAGGCTAAACGAAAATGTTTCTGTTTAGATTAGGCATTAGTAAACATCCCACTTCCCCCTCTCATTGTAAACAGAAGGATAATTTGGATGGGGAATGAGTCTTTTATTTAGCTCAGTACTTAAAACCATGGCCCACAATTATAGGTAATCAACCTCTGGGGGAAGGGGCTAGTGCTCTGAGCTGCTGGTTCTTTGAGCTGCAGCACCCAGACATATGTCCTGGCAACTGCCATGCTCTGCATATTGTTTCAGGAGGTCACTTAATTCCTTCCACTTTTGCCACTCCTTTGCTTTTTACTTCTCTATTTGAGCATGGCTCAAAGACAGCACAGGCAAAGTAAAAGACAACGTTCAAAGCTGTCCCAGATATTATCTGGGGCAATGTTCATATATTCACCTTAGTGAAATCAAGTTAACACTATGAGCATTGAAAGCAGCCATGACTAGAGAAAGGCAGTGAGTCAGCTAAATTCTTGAGCAGTTGATGACCATCCCACATCTTGGCAAAGATCTCCTGACTAAGGAGTCTAATAGTGGGAGTGAGGAAAAGCAGGAAAGAGGTAGAACAATGTGTGGCCGGCAAATCGGTATCAGCCACTGCCTGTTGTGTTTAGGCATGACACTATGTTGAGGTTATGCGAAACTCCTTGTTTTGGAAGACTGTTTTTTCTGAGATTTCTTTAAGCTAAGATGAGTTTAGGCCTCAGACGTAAATATCAAATGGACTGAGAAGATTGTTAAAACTGAAGTCATAGTAAGATGAGATTTCTTATCCTGCCTTGATGGAAGAGAACATTGTTGTCAATTTAAGATAGACTTTTCAAGGTTTCCTATTAGGATATCTTAGTAATGTTAAATTAAATACTATATTGGTGGTTTTAAATATTTAAATTAGTGGTATAGTTTGCCTTAATTTCTTTGGGAAAAATAATTCAAAAAGTAAATTAAAGTTGGAAAAGAGTAAGAATTTTTAGCTAAGACGTCAATGATCATGGATGATGATAACAGTTTTAGTTGACCAGCTTATAGACATTTAATATGGGCCATGTTTTACTTTTGTCTCTTGGAAGTCATTTACTATAGGCAGCGGATTATGAGGTTCCTAAATATAAGGTACAGTACTACTTCATTTTCCCACTCCTAACATTTCAGGAAGGAGCGTATTCACACTCTTCAAATGCACTCAGACGTAAGTGACTTGGTTGTTGGAATAATAACTCATTTTTGAGTCACATTAGTTTTTGAGTCCGTATGTCATCTTCATTTCTTTCTATGTTTGAGATGTATTTTTTGAATCTGTTTAGAGTCTAGTCACTGGAAATTTTATGCTAAGTCCCAAGTACCTCTCATATAGCATTAGGGTGGTTGGTTTTATTTGCCCAGTGGTTGTTCATTTGTCTTCTTTATTATAATAACCACGTGACCATTGCTTTTTAAAGTACTCACTTAAGGGATTGTTTCTTAATAATAGTCAGCAATTACAATTTTTTAGGTTCTATCCTAAGAATAACTACTTAATCTATGTTAACCTTTTTTTCTTAATTGTCAAGTAATCTTTTCATCATCCATTGGTTGAGGTGATTTCATTCTAACATGCCTTCTACAAATAGGACTGTGTTTCAAGATAAAGTCCTGCATTTGAGAGATGTCCTATAATTTGACAGACATTGTAAAGACTAGGTATAAAGTGACCCCTCATTTTTGGAGGAGGATTTTTGGGTAAAAAGAGTTTTTATCTCCAGTTTCTTGAGTTTGAATTTTCTGCATATATTTTAAATAATTTAGTTGAAGTCTTAATTTGGACAAAGAAATTAAGAAAAGGAGACATTCTACTTACAATTATATAATACAATATGATGACATTACTTGACCCAGAAAGGTGTGTGTATGTTGTTTTGAGTTGGGAATGGTTTTCTTTCTATCCTTTTTAGTGGCTCTGGTTATTCGCTGTATAGGTCATTCTATTTAACATTGAGTTCATGCCATTGATTATTTTCCCCCCTCTTTTTAGTAGAACATATTATTTTAGGAAATGTCAGCCTTCTAATTTTTCATCTTAGTTTAGGGTTATAGATATTGAAAATCGCATATTTGTAAAATATAGTATTGGCACTAAGATTACTAATAAAGATTTTTGATATAGTAAATTTAAAGCACATAGTTTTAAATGTCAGTAACAAATAGAACTGAATAAGTCAAAGTTCTACAAAATTTTTATAGATTATCTTTTTTCCCTCCTGTCTAAATGAAGTTGATGTCACGTAAAACTGGATGGCTGTGTACATGGAGGGTATTCATCCATTCTTTCATTCATCAAGCACGGATAGATGCAGTTGCCTCTGCCGCCTCCTTCATCTCCACTGTCCCGCAACTCTACCCAACACAGTGCAGGACTGATTGGTCCCCCTTTTGAACCACTTCTTCAATTTACATTTCGTTTTTTTTATTATGGCATAGAGCCCCACCAATATTATGATAATTTATGTACAGGTTGGCCTCCTGTCTCAGACTGTGAGCTCATTGAGTGCAGGGAGTTTCTTGCTTATCTTCGGCTGCCATGTCTAGCTCAGTCATACCACTTAGTCCACACTCAGGGCAGGTGTGGACTCAGTGTTTAAATGCTACATTTTTCCCTCACCTCAAGGGGTTCTTAGGTTGTTGGAGGAGGAGGACATGTGCAATTAATTCCAGTAAAATTGAATATGTATTAATGGAGATATGCACAAAGAACTTTGAGAACATAGAGGAGGAAGTGATGCTAAGGCATATAGGAGATGGAATGGCCATGAAACATTTGAAATCTGCGGGCACTTACTAGCATTAACATCTAGAGTATATCGAGGCACTTTATAACAAGGTTCCTGTACATTCAGAATACCCTGGTTAGAAGTTCAGTAGAGTTAATTTGTGTACCGCACTTCTACCTGTTAAATGCAAAACCACTGTGAGAAATTTTCTTTAAAGTTTTAGGAGTTGACAGAAATGATAAATGAACATAGCTTATTATTATTTTTTTTGGCAATGAAGACAATATTTCAAATTATCTTTTCAGGTATGGTTCATTAGAGTAGGACTCTGTTGGGATTATATGGTTTCTTATGCAATACAGGTGCTGTATTTTGCTTTGTCCAATTTCCTGGAGATGTAACACTTTCATCTCTCTGCACTCACAATTGTATCTTGTTAAGGAGCCGAGAATATGTTTCTACAATTACTTTTGCATTGCCTTTCATTATTTGCTTTTCATTTTTTGCCCTGAAAGAGAAGCAATTCTAGAATAAAAATTTTCTATCTTGATGAAGAATTAGTGTTTTTTGAGAATAAAGATATTAAACAGAATTTTAAGGGTAAAACTTCATTATGTTTTTTACCTTGTGGAATTGTACTTGGATAAGCCAGCAGGTGGCAGTATGATGTATAAAGTGAAAGACATTGGTACAGCTCCTTTTCATAAGAAAATAATACTTGCATATTAAAGAATTCATGTTACTTTGTAAATCATCAGAGCTTTTTTTATCCTGTCATTTTGTTGAACATATTGCAATTATGATCTTATGGGCTATTATTTTTAATTATATATTTAGTGCTTTTTTTTTTTTAAGTTGAGGTTTTGCTGATTCCAGGGGAATATTGAGGAATTTGGAGAGGGAAGCCTCATAACTATCTCAGTGGGGGCTTCTGTAGCAGTAGCAGCTGTATATAAAACCGTGAAATAAAGCTAAGTTAGGGATTTCTGGCATGTATCTTCCAGAGGTGGGGAAATAGTAATAATAATTAGATTGCCTAATTTACCTGTCATCAGCAGTATCCCAGCCATGCAAGAATGTGGCTGATTTTCAAGATAATAATAAGGTATCTTGGTTACTGAACTAATTGCTAAAAATACTAAGAAATATTGATTGACAAGTTTGGTAGATACTTAGAAAGGAGAATAATATGTTTCATTGGTTTCCATTAATACTTAGTTATGGCATTAACCTATCATTAAGTGTGTTTCTGTATTCCTTCTCTAGGGTTCTGTAAATGCCATGTGGTATGCCGAGGTTGGTTGCTTTTGAGTTTTTAAAAACTATAATAATGCATATATTACTTGTGTAATTTCAGTTGGAATAAAAAGTAGGTGTCAGTATTTTTCTTAGCTGCTATGAATTTCTCCCTGCCTGCTGGTCTGAAATAAAATAACTGCATCATGCTTTAGTTTGATTGTTTTAGTTTTTGCTTAAATGCACAAAGTCTGATGACTGTATGTGGCTAATTTTGCTTGCCTTTGTCCTTGGTCCCTGGCTATATTTGTACAATGTCTTTGATATGCTACTTGGTGCTATTTGTAAACAAGCATTTACAATACTATGTGATGTCTGAACTCTCCTGCATAGGTTAAAGAACTCCGAGAAAAGGCTGAGTTTTATAGGAAGCGAGTTCAGGGGACACATTTTTCTCGGGACCATCTGAATCAGATTCTGTCTGATAGCAACTGCTGTTGGGATGTCTCCTCAACCACAAGCTCAGAAGGAACTGTTAGTAGCAACATCAGAGCATTAGATCTTGCTGGGTGAGATATTCTTTGTGGATGGTGAAAAGTTTGTTGAAGCTTATGTAGATCATAGAATGACATAGGAAAAATGACCTGACTACTCAAAATTTGTCTCCTAGTCAAATGGAAATGTGGCAGCCATTTATTTCATTTTTATTTGCTGTGAAAAATAAAGCAATGTAGACTTGCTTTATTTGTGTATAAATAATACATAATGTAAATCTGGAAGGCTGGAGTTTTATAATATTCTTTGTTGAAAATTAATAGCAGAGAAGGGATGACTATATGGTAGATGTAAAAAGACCTTTAGAAGGTAAAAAGAAAGTCAACAACAACAATAAAAACTTAGAGACTATAAGCTATTAATACATATCCATTATCATTCATTAATGGATTTTGTGGCTAATTCAGAACTTCGTTCCTGATTTAATGGGAGAGCTCTCTGCTGTTTTGGGTTTAAAGTGAACATGATTTAACTATTTGTAAGAGAAAGTAATTGAAGAACTTAGACCGTGGGGGTCCTAGTTTATGTGTGTAAATGCCAGTTTAGAGGCTAGGTATGACTTGTGTCAGCAGATGTACACAAACATATATGTGAAGGTAGGAGTAAAAGAAGATAAACATATTTTGGAATATTTTAATGGAAACTCCAGATTGTAACTTTCATTTATTTTACTATAAGACGAATTATATTTCCTTCTTCAATACCTGAACAAGGCAGTATCTAGGGAATACATATATTGTGAACAGTAGAAGGAAATGATAGACTCAGTAAAATTGATGTAGACTAGAAAAGTGCAAACTATTTACATTTAAAATAAAACTTACTTTGTTATGCAGAGACCCTAGAAGCCATAAGACTTTGCAGAAATGTCCTTCTACAGAACCAGAAGAAAAAAGAGATATCATGGAAGAACAGCCCCAGAAAAATACCATGGAGAAATTGGGCGTGTCAGCTCCCACCGTACCTGTTAGGAGGCGGCTGGCATGGGATGCAGAGAACACCACTGAAGACGGACAGAAACAGCCCAAGGAGAAAGAGGAGGAGAAGGAGGAGGAGGAGGAGGAGGAGGAGGAGGAAGAGGACAGGAAAATGGACAAGCAGGCTTATATAGGAGAGCAAGAGCAGTTGGATGTACATGAGAAATCTAAGGCAGACAAGATGAAAAAAGGGTGAGAGTTTTAAATTACTCAGTATAGAGAAGCGTTATTTACATAGTTGATATGTATTTTGTTTTGTCACTAAGTATAGTGGTTTGCACTTTTGATTTTATCACTAATAAAGTGCAGATTTTATTTCAGTGTCACAAAGTAGGCATTGCTGTATGGTTAATAATCTGATCCACTCAGGTATTTAAGTCACCACTGATTGGTAATTGAATACTTGAATTCTGGGGTACTTTGGGAGGAAATAGTTAGGTTTATTTTCATTTATGTCCTGTAATTTATGGTGTGCCATATTTGCAAATGTGTGTGGAAGAATGACTATGTTTAAAGAAATAAACTGGTGTTCTTTAATATCAGATGATTCTACCAAAAAAGAAAATGTTTTGTAACATCTTGAAAAAGGTGATTTCTGAAAATAGCTAATTCCTATTGTTTTGTGTGTAAATTGCCTTGGGGAGTGGCTCTTCTCCATCACTGATAATAGTGCCTTTTGTCTATAATCCAAATCACTTATTTATTCATGGTTGTTACAACTAATAATATGGAACTTGAGCCTTGATATAAGGAAGGATTCTCTGCTGTATTGGTTCTGACTTGCAGTGATTTCCCCCCATCCAGTATTCAGTCACTTTTTTCTTTGTGGGTTGTTTTTATCTATTGATATAGCTTATAGTATTTTTTCAGTGTTCAAATTTTATTTTTGATCTTGTGCTTAGTTGTTCTATTCATTATTGAAAATTTCAGTCACTTTTAACTGCCTGTGGATTTGGTGGTTATTTCTTCAGAAACAAAATGGCCTCCTCTTACAAGTTTTATACTTTAAGTGATGGCAAAGTATTTTTTTATCATATGTTCTAGAGGAAATGCTGTATAGATTCATAGATTGTTTCAATTTATAGGTCAGATTCTTCTTCTGTATCCTCAGAAAAAGGAGGCCGGCTTCCTACTCCCAAGCTGAGAGAACTTGGTGGAATCCAGAGGACTCATCATGATCTCACTACTCCAGCTGTTGGTAATTGGCAAACATCATGCAGTTCTTATTTAACCTGCTTTTTCTACATGATAATTTAATGTAATTGAAACTGTCATCTTCTTTATTTTTCCAGGTGGTGCTGTTTTAGTGTCTCCATCTAAGATGAAGCCTCCAGCCACAGAGCAGAGGAAAAGAATGACCTCTCAGGATTGTTTAGAAACTTCAGAGAATGAATTTACTAAGGTAAATATATTTTGGGAAAAAAGCATCTCATCTGGGACTAATCATCATAGACACATGTAAAAAATAAATGATAGGTTAAGATTTTAGAGAATTGTGGCTATGATATGAGGAGATGATACTATTAACATGCTTTTAATAAGGCAAAAGGCTTGACTTTTTTTCTGGTAGAAGCATTGCATTTTTGTTAATACACTTTCAACTTTGTCAGTAGTGACTCAATAGGAAGAGGAAGAAAGCATACTTTTATTGAGCATCTACTGTGTGACAGTGGTGTTCCTGCTATGTTCCAGGCATTGTTTTAGTGTTGGGGATATAGCAGAGAACAAACAGGCAAAGATCATGGCCGTCATTGAACTTACATTCTAGTGGTGGAGAGAGACAATAAACAATATAACCAGATAAAATATGTAGTATTTTAGATATTGATTAGTATTAAGGAGAAAAATAAAGCTGCTGAAGTGAACAGGAAGTGGCTAGGAAAATCCTCAGTGCGAGAGTGGCATTTAAGCAGGATCTGAAAAACATAAGGGATTGACCTGTATGCGGATCTGGGAAGGTCTAGGTGATGAGAACAGCAAGTGCAGATCCCTCAGGTGAGAAGGTACCTGCTTCCTTGAGGAACAGTTTGGAGGTCAGTATAGCTGGAGAAGAGAGAGAATGAGAAGGAGAGTAGTGTGGATAGAGTTCAGAGACATAATGGAGTGCTAAATTGTGTAGGGCTTTGTAAATCATAGCAAAGATTAAAAATTTTTTTCTCTGTATGAAGTGGGAAGCTATTGGAAAGGTACAGGAGTGACATGATTTTACTTAGTTTTTTCTGAGGTCTTTCTGGCTGCTGTGTTGAGAATAGATAGTAGCAGAGCAAGAGCTGTGGCATAAAAACAGTTGGGAGTCACTTACGCTATCCAGGTAAGAGGTGATGGTTGTTTGGACCTTGGTGGTGGCAGTGAAGATCATATGATAAAGTTCAATTTTGGATACACATGGATACAGCCAACAAGATTTGCTGATGGATAAGATCTGGGGTGGGAGAAAGAGAAAAATCAAGGATGACTCGAGTTTTGGCCTTAGCAATAAGGTTGGAGTCACCATTTAACTGAGCTGGGGAAGGTAGTGTGAGGAAAATATTTGTTGGGGAAGATCAGTAATTCTGTTCTGGACACACTAAATTTGAGAAGCTTATTAGACATACAAGTAGACATGTTGAATAGGGAATTGACTATATAGGTTTGGAGTGTAGAGAGGAGAAGTTGGGCTATAGATACAGATTTGAGGTTCTTTATAACTTAGGTGGGTCAGGTATTTAAAGTATTGAGACTAGAGGAAATCAAGGGAGTGGGTATAGACAGAGAAGAATAGTTGCAGACAGATCTGAGCCCCAGTTTTTTGATATTGGGAAGTTGAAGACTAGTAAGCAAAGAGATTGAAGAAGAGCAGCCAGTGAAGTGGTTACAAACAGGAGACTGGTATTCTGGAGGTGTCAGAAAGGGAGAGTCAAGAAGGGAGGTGTCAAGAAGAGATAGGTCAGTAAGACAGGACAATTGCTTATTGGATTTAGCAACACAGAGGTCATTGGTGACCTTGGTAAAGGGCAGTTTTGGTGGAAGGGAGGGAAAAAAGCCTAAGTGCGAGTGAGTTCAATAGAAAAAAGAACAGAAGAATTGGATACAGCTGCCACAGAAAATTCTTTGAAGTGTTTCTTTTCCAAGAAGGGAAGCAGAGTAATGCAGGGGTAGTTGGGAGAAGTGAGATCAAGATGGAAGACATAACAGCACATTTGTATGTTGACAAAAATAATTTTGGAGAGAGAAAAGTTGATGGTGCAGGAGTGGGGAAAGTTGTTGGAAAGATGCCTTTGAGTAGGAGAAAGGGCTTAGGATTTGGTGGAGATGTGGAGGGGCTGGCTTTTGACACCGATTGTTTCTTCATTGTTACAAGAGGGAAGGTATAATTCATGAGCACTGCTGGTGAATTTAGGAAGATGTGATGGCAGCTTTTGGAAAGCCTCTTCTGATTGCTACTTTGTGACATGTGAAGAAAGATCCTTGCTGAGACTAAGGCCGGAGAAGATGTTGGAGATTCGAGGAAAGTGAAAGCATAGAGTAGTCATCTCAGAGAGTGGGAGAGTGAGTGGGCCAGGGGAATGTATAATATTTTAGGCCAATGTTAAGGGCCCATTTTAAGTTGGTGGTCACAAAGGTGGTGGAAGACCAGTCAGGAAGGATTGTGTGCTTTCTCCAGGAATGTTTGGCTGCAGAGGTGCAGGATAGATAGAGAGTTGGATTTACCTAGGATTTTGAACTTGTCATGAGAGTAAGACAAAGTGAGAAAAAGGGTAATGGAGTTAAGGTATATATGAAGAAGGGATTATAATGATTGGCTGTTGAAGTTGAGTTGGTTAAGGAAGGACACTGGGACTTGAAAACAGTACAGAGGTAATAGGATCAGTGGATGGATGGTCTTGGTAAAATAAAAGACTTGTTGGAATTGGGGCATCCGTGGGGAATAGTTTCAAAGTTAGGAGATGGCGGTCAGAAATTGAGATTATGGAGAGGTTGTAGTTACTAGTAATGACAAGGCTTAACATATAATCATGAGTGTAAGTGGTTGGAGTAGAATAAAGAACATTCAGAGAAGAGGTTGAAAAATCTATAGGGAATTTTGCTGATGACTGTTTGTGAATTTGAATACAAAGTAGTAGTTTTCAGGGATTGGGAACAGGTGGGAGATGGGATCAGAGCACCTTCTACCTCTTAATCCCCAGTGCTTAGAACAGAGCCCAGCTCATAGCAGGTAACAGGCTGAATGAATGTTATTGAAGTGACAGAATATCCAAACTATTTCCTGTTGCTTATGTATATGTTGGTTTATTAAAGGAAATGTGACATTAGGAATACAGTCAGAAGACTCATGAGAATCAAATCTTAGTGAACTGTTCTGCTCCTCCTGAGAAATATCCAGGCTGCCACCTGGAAGGTGTGAGCGTTTAGGCAGCTATATACATGCAGCTGATTCAGCCAAAACAAGTGACTCATCCATATTTGCAGCTGGATTTATATGTATTATTTTCACTTACTCTTGAATTAATTTATTGAATGAATAGAGTAATATCGTCCCTCAGAATTTTAATGCCAATCTCTGTCTCACTGTGCGTGCTATGTACTTGTAACATTTTAATTACCAACTTCTCTAAAATAAGCAAGCTTCTGGCTCACGCTTGTAATCCCAGTACTTTGGGAAGCTGAGGTGGGCGGATCATGTAAAGCCAGGAGTTCAAGACCAGCCTGGCCAACATGGGGAAACCTTGTCCCTACCAAAATTATAAAAATTAGCTGGGCATGATGGCAGATGCCTGTAATCCGAGCCACTCGGGAGGCTGAGGCACAAGAATCGCTTCAACCCGAGAGACGGAGGTTGGAATGAGCAGAAATCACTCCACTGCACTTCAACCTGGGAGACAGAGCGAGACTGTCTCCAAACAAACAAATACATACATATATATGTATATATGTATGCAAGTTTATTATTGACAACTTGATTGGATATCCTTCCATGTGAATTTTTCTGCCCCCAGCACTACCAGGGACTATACCAGGAGCTAGCTAGATTTTGTTATTTCCCAGTGTCTACGCTTTGGTTACTGGTAGGCAGAGGAGTTGCTAAACTTTGATATATACCATCAGTTTTTCCCCTTATATTCTCTTACTAAAGCATTTATAAGAAATTACATTATTGTAATATATAAAATTAAACTTGTAGGTCATTCAATTTCCAATAAATTATCAGTATGTCCCAAAACTTTGGGGTAGAATTCTCATATTGATTTGATCATCAAGAAGCATTTTCAAATCTTAAAATTATATTAAAAACCCAAGTGTGCATTAGCTCACTTTATTCATCAGCAGATTTACCCACATGCTATGGCAATGATAATGAATAGAAACAGACATGGTACGTGAGCTTATGAAGCCTGCAGCAGTCTGATCAGGGAGATACATGTTAACTACACCAAAAAAAAAAAAAAAAAAGAAATTAACAAGAGTTTCAATATCAAAGTACTTAGTGCTATTCTGGAAGGAATTGGCCTAATCATGGAGATCAGGAACCTTTTTGGAAGCCAGCGATGCTTCTTTGAAAAACTCATAATTGAGCTAAGATGAAGAAGAGGAAGCATTAACTAGGAAAAAAGGATGGGAGAAGGAGCATAGGCTATTCCAAGATCTTGTGGAGAGAAAGAATGTAGAGTTTGAGGAAACAAAGATCAATACAGTGTGTGGCAGGGAGCATGGTGCAACATGAGGCTGGAAAACAGCAACATTGGGATTTCTGTCATTATCTCCAGAGCAGTGGGAAGCCATTGAAATATTTTAAGTATGGGAATTGTGGTGGATATATGTTTTGCAAGATCTGTTTGGCTGCCATAGGAGGCAACAGTAGATTGTGAATGCCCTTAAAAAGCCATTGCAGTAGTCCACGTAGGAGGTGTTGGTAGCTTGGATGAAGGAGGGTGGGAATAGATAAAAGTGGATGAAACTGCACAATTGTGCAAGGAGAAGAATGATAAGGCTTGATGCTGGGTTGGGTAATGGGGGATAAGAGACAGGGATGCCTGCTTAGTTTCTGGCTTTCCCATCAAGATTGATGGAGGTACCATGCACAGAGCAAGAGAACTCTGGACAAGGAGCCTCTTTGGAGGGGAGTTGTATTTTCATTCATTCAATTTGATATTTAATAGGCTCTTACTATGTGCCAGGCACTGTTCTGGATTCTGGAGATTCATTGGTAATCAAGACAATATCCCTGCCTTCATGAGGCTTATATTTTCATTGGGAGGAATGGACAAATCATTTTTTAAGAAAATAATTTCACATAGTAGTAAGTACTGTTAATGAAATAAAACTACAGATGACCTCTAAGGGATGGGTAAGGCAGCTTTAGTTTGGGCTGTTCAGGACAGGCATCTCTAAGGAGATGACATTTTAGCTGAGACCTGACTGATG